CCTTGGTTGCTTAAGCGATTTGGGACCGCTTAAGCGATCAAGTCCAAGGCAGAATGAAGATCTGCCTAGATGCATGATCACGTAAGCGATTCTTCACTTTTACCCTTGGTCGCTTAAGTGATCAAGTCCAAGGTAGAACCAAGATCTGCCTAGATGCACGATTGCTTAAGCGATTTATTGTCTCGCTTAAGCGATTTTTCACTTTTACCCTTGGTCGCTTAAGCAATTTGAGATCGCTTAAGCGATCAAGTCCAAGGCAAAATCAAGATCTGCCCAAATGCATGATTGCTTAAGCAATTTATGGTCTCGCTTAAACGATTCTTCACTTTTACCCTTGGTCGCTTAAGCGATCATGTCCATAGCAGAATCTAGATGCTCTTAGATGCACGATCGCTTAAGTAATTTATTTTCTCGTTTAAGCAATCCTGTATAGAAAACCCTTGGTTGCTTAAGCGATATATGTAGTCCCTTATATATCGTTTAATCGATCATGGGCAATACATATTTTTTCCAGCTTTTCTCTCGAATTTTGACAAACTAAAATCACCAACACATATTAATTCCATATTTTCTCCTGAATTTGACAACCTAATTGCATCAATACATCAATGCCATGTAACAAGAATACTAAATAAACTCAAACTCAAAAGAGGGAAAGAAATACTGAATTGCTTTTGTACAAATATGAAATGTGTCAATTACATTAAATTACAACATTATATACAACAAATAAATGTCCTATATACACCCAAAACAAAAGCAGGGCCGATAGCCTCCATCCTCCCTTTTCATCATTCTCTTCAGCCACTTCGCCATCCTTCAAAATTATCCAGCATCAGCAGCAGCAGCAACAGCCTCTTCGTCTTCTTCTACAGCACCCCTTCTAACATTATCCAACCTTGGCCTTGGCCACAAAGCATACATAACACCACAACCCAAGTATCAACAGCCCGAAGCCTAACAACACCAGCTGATCCAATTCAAGACAACCCAATAAGACAGGATCACATAAACTACTAAATTCTAAGTCCAATATTCATACCTTTTGATGACAGCATCAACGATGACTTGGATTGGGTTCTGGTCCGTCAAAAGGGATCCATATGCCCATGGAAGAACTCAACAGCCCAGCGCTCACGACAGTTGCTCATTGTTTCGTCATTCAAGTTGTCCATCGGGGTATTGGTCATGTCAAACTCAATAAACTTTAGTGCATATGCCCCACAATCAGTACTACAATAGGAGGAAGACATTAGCATTCGAATCAGCTTATAGAATAATTGTATTATGTAAGTTTTATACAAAATTTACCTTAAGTCATTTGTCGGGACGAGAAGGCACTTGAATGGCCACTTTCCCGTCAGTAGTTCATCACCCAAGTGCTAAAACATCCCGATGTCACACAACAACCTCGGGAGCGGCTGCAACTCCATCTCCAACTGCCTTTCTCGTCAAATACTTGGGTTGCAGTCAAGGATTTGCAGCAAGCCCTTCTCTAGTAGCGCGACGACAGTTATCCAATGCATATCCTTGATGTTCATGAAACAGTATACTCTTTTAACATTTGCCCAACTGTTGCCATGTTTGGGCCTTTCCCCTGTACATACTGCATTATCTTGTCATCAAACTGAAAATCATCAAGGACACCGTCGAAGTCATATGTGGCCAATCTTTTCCGCTTGCCTCCCCTTGTTGCACCTCTACCATTGACCTTTTTCATTAAAGTGCCATATGTAGTTCCTAGCGTTTGGCCAAAACCCACATCGGTGATGGCACAGTGCGGATACAAAATATCAGCATTACTACTCTATCGTAGCCTCGTAAGTGCCAATACCTTATCGATGTGCTGCATCAAATAAAAATAACATGATAAATATACAATACCTCATGGAAAACATAAGCAAAAATAAGGGAAAATAACTCATCGAGTTATTGAGCCACCTGCCTATTGTCAACATCTTCTCAAACCACTCTTGGGGATAATCCCTGGTCTTGCACTTCACATGCCCATCACCTCCAGAATTATTGTAATAGGCATAGAAGAGTTTTTTCTTTTCCTCATCTATTGGCCTATACAAATCGATCTTTAACTCCTCCGTTTTCACTTGCCTACTTCCTCTGCCTTCCTCCTCAATTTTTACTTTCACACTTCCTTTGCGTCCCGCCTCACCCTCCTCCAATTTCACTTCCCCACTTCCTCCTTACCCTTCTCCATTTTTGCTTCTCCACTTTCACGAACTTACTCATTTTTTTTCTTTGTTTTCCTCTTCTTTCCATACGTTACTACCGTGTAAGGAGAAATTACATGCTTACTCTTTTGGCTCTCTCTTTTATGCTCAGGTTGCACTTCAACCACTTTCAATACCCCACCAACTTCCTCCTCTACCCTACCAACTTTCTCCGCCACCCTATCAACTTTCTCCTCTACCCTTTTCATCCGTTCTTCCATCTTCTCAAACCTCTTATAAACCGATGTTGTAAAACTCTCAAACAAACCGTTTATGAGGTCAATCGCCTCATTCTCCCAACCCCGACGCCTCGGCAATGCGGTACTTTTTGTACCGGTTTGCCAATTTGGTGAAGGCGTACGAACCTCTTCATCCTCCTCCTCCTCCTCCTCCCTCCTGCCGATTGGAGCTTCATCATCCTCGGCGTCAACAACATTCTCAAGCAGTGGCCTTACAACTGCACTCACATGCGTGACCTCTTCTAGGTCCTGCATTAGGCGGTCTATCCCTTCACCTGCTACATCCTCCAGTGCTTTGAACGATGTAATATACTCCTCTCTCACTTCACCCCTAGTAGTGGTGAGGAAGGGACAGACGACTCCCTACAATAAGAAAAAAAATCAATCAAATTTAAGCCACATTTAAAAACAAGTGAATATTCAAAAGATTAATCCTTAAATCTTACCTAAGCCGTTTGAATTTCCATGTCTATTTTGTCGTAATCCCAATACATACACTTCTCGATGTGCCACTGCAACATCCTAGGAAATTGCAGTCACTCATCCGAAGTCTTCTTCCTCCCCCCGCCTTATCCAGGATAGGGATGACCTCATACATCCAAGCCTGCATTGTAAAAAAACAGTCCATATCATAATTAAAACACATATAATACAAAAAATATAACAAAAAGCTATTAATATTTACCTGCATTGCCCATGGGAAGCCAAACAAATTGTACGTGCTCAGTCTATTCTTCTCGACAGATTGGCGATGTTTTAACGCCATATCTTTTCCTTGCAAGGAGTCCATGGTTAGCTGAAATGATACCCGTCCCTATAGATAAGCATTAAAGAAGTCCATGTTGCTTGCAAACTTCACCCAATCCATATTAACGGCTTTTGTTGAGTCAGATGACATTAGAATCAAATGCACAAACCATACTAGGCACATCTTGAACCTCTCTGAAGAGTTATTCCCACCTTTTCCTAACCTCTCCTCTAAGTCGTGTCCCGTAATAGATGCCTTCCCCCTTAAAACCTATTTAGCCAAGTTATCAACTGCCCTACTTTTGTTTATTCTCTCTTGCTCTTCCACATCTAGAAATGCCCCACATCTTAAGCCTATCATAAGGGCATATTCCATCATCCCAAAACGTAGTTGCTTCCCATCCACCACGAACCACATTTCATTTTTTTTTTTTTTTTTTTTGGCTTTTAACTGAGTGCAACAACATATAATGCACTCCCTGCCCCTAGAACGCCTTTTTCTAATTTTTTTCCGATGTTCACAAAATGACCAAAATAACTCTCTTTGAATCGGTCCTTACCCTTCTTTTGTTCCTCTAAAATCTCGATTATTCTCGTAAAAACTTGCCAACTTGACCTAACTGTCACCCTTAACGGGAAGTACGGTACCTTATCGCTTGCAACCTTCAACCCATAGTCTTTATCATTTACGCTTCGGAAAATCTGCACAATCGATATAAACTAAATATCAGCAAAAAAAGGAAACCAAAACAACCAATAGGCTGCCAAGTTAGGGGATGCGGGCTTCGAGGGCATTGGGGAGTGGGTGTTTTTGGCCTCAAAAAGACCGGGGAAGCCAATGCAAGCCCTATAGAGGTTGTTGTGGCAAGTTCCAAGAGATTTGAGGGCTGAGGATGGCAAGAGGCGGCGGAATAGGGGGCTGGAGGGCTGTCCTGAATATTGTAGGGGTGGCCACGCATAGCTATTGTAGGGCAGCCCTCCAACCCCCCTATTCTGCCACCTCCTGCCATCCCCATCCCTCCAACCTCCCACAAACAACCTCCCTATGACCTCCATTGCCTTCCTCCATCCTCTAGAACCCAAACAAAGCCACTCCCCCGATGTCTGCCAACTGCTCAACAAAACGCCACAACCACCGTGACAATAAAACCAACAAATTATCCCTCAAATTTGCACAAATCAATCAAATTTCTCATCAAATTCAAAACCACAAGTAAAAAACATACTCTTTCTTCACCGGCGTCCTCCTCCTCGCCTGAATTCTCACTGACATCCTCCTCTTCAAAACTATTTTATGATTTTTCTCTCTGTTCTTGTGTCGTCGTTGTCTCCTCTACCTCTGGACCACCTTGACTCATCATATGATCCACCGGAGCATCTTCTTCGACAGCCTTTGAACAGCCGTCGCCACCGCCGTCGCCGGAGTCTGGATTTGGAGTGGGGTTGAGTTTTCCTCCTTTTTGTGAATATCAATTATGATTTTGTGTAAGAAAGCTTTAGGATCGAATATTTGCCAAAAATATGGCACTTTTATCACCAAAAATTACAGAGAAATCAAAGGTGTTAGTCGGTCATTTTTTTGGTATATGGCTCAATTAAGCGATTTTGAAGGGTGGGGGTCGTTTTTAATTTTCAAAATTTAAGCAAACTTCTGTTAATTATATATTGCTCATATATGTTTAAATCTTTTTAGTTTAACCCGTTTTATATGTTTAACGAATCCTAAGTGTGTCACGTTAGTTTTTCTAACTTTAAAAAAATTGCAAAATATTTCAGGTTATTTTTTTAAATGTAAACTTGGGAGGTCTGGCAATTAAATTTCCTCAAAATCAGTTGCAGTCCCAGTGACGACAGAGGAGAAGAGAAAGAAAATGGGAGGATATGCGTTGGGTTCAGCATTTGATTTGAAGTCAGGGCAAATGATAATGGTTGCTCTTTTATTAATGGTTGGATCATTCTACCTAGGCACTATCTTTGGTAAAAATGCTCCCATCTACATTTCTCAAACCTCCTCCAATTCTTCTTCATTACTCGGTATATCTTTACTTAACCTTTCACTTTTTCTTATTACCTCATTTTATCTATGATTCTGAGATCTGGGTTTCATTTGGGGCCTTTTAATTTAGCTCAACCCACTAATCCCCGCTTCAACTCATGTTGTTAGAACTTGTTTCTCTGTTGGTTGATGGAGTCTTATTTTCTGGTTTTCTGGAATTGTGTTCTTGTTTGCTTAATTTAATTGGCAGGACTTTCGGATGGGATGAATTAGCATTTTGTTTTTATCTTATTTTGAATTATATAGTGGTTTTTAAATCTAGTTAGAGGGTGTGATGTAGTTTGAATTTGTGCAAATTGATTCAAGTATAATAGGTTACCGATCCCAATGTGGGCTGATGATTTTTTTGTCTTTAAATCGTAATTCTTCCAGCAAAATGTCAGAGACTAGATATTGAATTATACTTTAGATTTAGTTTTCAACTCTTGATATTCTGGATTAATCTCTTACGCTTCCGTTCATATGGCAGACTTTCAACAAAGCTAAGAAGTATTATTCTTCGAACTCAGAAAGTAGTCACAGCTTTCATAATAATATATGATGAAATTGTGAACCTTAAGGAAATTGGCAACTAAAGCTCAGGCTTATTGTATCTTAGCCTTTGAAAATAATTCTTGTGAGTGATATAGATCTGTCTTTTACAGTTACAGGTACTACCACCTTTACAAACAAAGTTGCTCTGACGTACCAGAAAACACCACTTGTGATCCCAGAAAGTGGAATGAATGTATGTCCTTTAATGTTCAACGAGTATATCCCTTGCCATGATCCTTCTTACGTGAATAAATTGCTTCCTAGCTTGAATCTTTCCAGAAGAGAAGAACTAGAGAGACACTGCCCCTCACCTGAAAGGCGTCTGTTCTGCTTGGTGCCACCACCCAAAGATTATAAAATTCCATTAAGATGGCCAACTAGCAGGGATTACGTGTGGCGAAGTAATGTGAATCATACACGTCTTGCTGAAGTTAAAGGGGGACAAAATTGGGTGCATGAGAAAAACCAACTATGGTGGTTCCCAGGTGGTGGTACTCATTTCAAGCGTGGGGCACCTGAGTACATTCAAAGGTAACTATGACTTGATTTGCTGTTGTTCACTTTCTTTTCATTGTGTTAACTCATCAAGTATTGGATGACATGTTAGTTGCTTGAGCTTTATAGGTTGCTTATCAAGCTAATGCAACATAATTATTGGCACAAGCTTATTGAATTTTAATGTGAGGAAAAAGGTTTCAGTTATCAGGTTTTATGGTACTTTTGGTCTTTGTATATACAATTTTTTCCCAAATAAAGTGTAGCAACATGGAAAGAATTATCTGATTGAGGATTATTAATATATATATGATCTTGCTGTTTGCAGTAATTAATTTTACTTTACTATCAATTTTTTTTTGGTCACTCAGGTTAGGAAATATGACAACTGGTGAAACGGGTGATCTGCGTTCGATAGGGGTATTTCAAGTTCTTGACGTTGGTTGTGGAGTTGCCAGCTTCTCTGCTTATCTTCTTTCCTTGGATATACAAACAATGTCCTTTGCTCCCAAAGATGGCCATGAAAATCAAATTCAGTTTGCTTTGGAGAGAGGTATTGGTGCAATGATTGCTGCCATAGCAACTAAACAGCTACCTTACCCTACTAGCTCTTTTGAGATGGTTCACTGTTCAAGATGTCGTGTTGATTGGCATGCAAATGGTATGTTGCTATTCCACCTTGTATATTTATATTAGCTCTTTCGGATTTTAATTTTTCCATGTAAAATATTTGGTTAATTTACTTCTGAGTAATCTTTTGCTGATTTTCGTCCATCATTGATGATACTTAATATCTAGAAAGAAATGTTTATTTAATAGTAAACTATTAGTGGCTGTAGAGTAATATTTTGTGAAACGGACTTGTTTTCATGAGGCTGTCAATCCAGCATGAGTCTACTAGCATCTGCTGTGTTGAAAACTTGAGCTGTGTTTAAAACTTGAGTTGTGTTTGAAAAGTATTTTGAAGGTATTACTCCTTCTGAAATCCAATTCAACTCTGCTTTTGAATCAATTCAGTGCCTCTGCTTCCAGAGTATAATCCTCTGGCTCACAGATTGGAACATTTGAAAACCACTTCTGTGTAACCATTCTATCACTAGTAGCCACTCAATGTTTGAAAGGGCACTAATTGGGCCCTCTGTTCTAGTGACTTATGCAATAGGTATTTGACCTATTAGGTCTTCCACTTTTTAGGAGGACTCTGGTTGATCTATTTTATCAACATAGGGCTCTTCTTCCTGATAGTTTTCAAGACATTAATTTCAGGGACACTATTTCTCCTCGTAATTCAGTTATGTTGTTTAGCAAAATTTATTGAACATCACATTGCATTTGAAGGGAAAGCTCTGGTGTTATGAAGATTCTGTATGTTGGCTGCTTTGTGGGCTATTAGGTGTAAGTGGAATTAGAATATTTTTTATGATTACATAGAAGATGATGTGACAATGCTTTTGGGTAGAATTCATGGTCATTCTTGTTTGTGTGCTTCAGTTGCAAAACAATTTTAGGAGAATGGCTTTTTTCTTTATTCAGAGGGATTAGAATGTTGTAAGTTCTTAATTTACTCTGTTCTTTCTATTTAAATTTTATGCTGTATTTTCTATTTCTGTTTGATTTAATTTAACCTCTTGTCTACCTGAACTAAGATGTAGTTTCTTTTCATTGAGATACTGCCTTTTGGAGTTTTCTGGTGAATCTTGTCTTCATTTGACATGGTTTACCAATTTGTTAACTTTTTTACATTTTGGTTACTACAGACGGAATTTTACTCAAAGAAGTCAACCGTCTTCTGCGACCTAATGGATATTTTGTCTATTCGGCTCCACCTGCTTATAGGAAGGATAAAGATTATCCATTGATTTGGGATAAGTTGGTAAACATAACTACAGCAATGTGCTGGAAACTAATTGCTCGAAATGTACAGACAGCTATCTGGATTAAAGAAGAAAATCAAGAATGCCTCCAGCACAATGAAGATCTGAAGCTGATAAAAATATGTGATGCTGTTGATGAGTCTAAACCATCATGGAATACTCCTCTTGAAAACTGTATACAAATAAGAAGTGGGATATCAAATTCTCTGAAACTCCCTCCTAGACCACAGCGTCTCTCTGTATATTCCAAGAGTCTCAGCAGAATAGGTTTGCACATTAAAAACATTTCAAGGATTTAGTTTTTATTTGTTTATTATAACTTTTGGCTCTTTTTTGTGCTGATTATGCCTAATTAATAGAATCCTCTTGAAGTTGGCATGTTCTATAGGCCTTTAGTTTTGAGATGGAATGTCATGCAAATTTGTTGAGCCACTATGTGATGAAATTATATATACGTATATTGTGTTTTTTCCTTTCAATAGAAGATATAAGTTTCTTCAAATGTTAGTTTTATCTGACCTATCAAGCCACTGACTAAAAAGTCAATGAGCTCTTGAATTTTGTTCTTTGTATGTATATGAACTATTAATGTAGTGGCCTTCTGGTCTGATTCTCAGGTGTTCTAATGTGCTTATTAAATGGCATCCTTCCTACTGTCTAATTTTATATTGACTACCCTGCTAACTGAGTTCTATGATTATGGCATTGTTCTTTTCAGCCAAATTGAATGTCTTCTTGTGTCTCTCCTATATTTTTCACCTTGCATGAGACTAAAACAGAAGCAACAACCTTTTTATGCATATTCCTTTCTTATGATATTTAAATTTGCTATGATGCAGAAGGTTATTATAAGATTTAGGAATTGTTTAATACGAGTTTTTTTTATTTTGAATTTTCATTACTTCTTGTTTGGGTTAGTAAAGGTTAATTTATTCTCCTTTTTTGAGGCAGATTACATTTATTGATGTGAAGAAAATTGAGTACTCTCTTGGTTATCTTATTCTTCTTCCTTTTCTACCTTTTCCCCTCTAATTTCTTCTATTTCTATCTCTCCATATTTCTGTCCCTTATCTCCCTCTCTTTCTGCCCCTTTTCCTAAGTCATGCTTGCTATTGACCGGTGATTCGGGCTCCAACTAATCTTGTAGCATTTCTGGTGGAATGTAGAGATGCTTTTTGGCTTATATTTTTTTTGCTCAAGTTATTTGCATTCTCTGTAATTAATCATTGTTGTAAAGCTATCATTCATTTATATAACAAATTGGAATCCGTAGGAAAGACATTGAAATTATCATGGACAACTGAGGCAGAAAGTGTAAAGTTGTAGCTGGAATTGTGGGTTCAACAGGAACATTAGCAGTTGCTGCTTGTAATTTTAAATTTGAGTTCCTTATTATTTCTTATTGAAATAGCCTTCTAGTATTAAACTGCTTTCCTTGGTTAGGTCTTGTTTTAAATGTCTATTTATCACTTAAGCAAGTAGTTCAGTTCATTTGACGACATGACATGCAGAATCTGAACATGAAATCACAGGCATCAAACCTTATTTTTTGTCTTCTGTTGCTAAAGATTTACTTTAGAAAAGAAAAAAAGATTACACACACAAACAGTATTATGTGATAAAAAATAGAGGTATTTCACTATTTGACATAGATTTTTTTGTTAACTTATTCACAACAGGAATCAGTCAAGACAAGTTTACTTCGGACACTATCTTTTGGCAGGATCAAGTTCGCCATTACTGGAATCTGATGAATGTGAGTGAGACACAAATACGAAATGTAATGGATATGAATGCCTTTTGTGGTGGATTTGCTGTGGCATTGAACTCATTGCCTGTTTGGGTGATGAATATTGTTCCTATGAGCATGAAGAACACCTTGTCTGCCATATATAGCAGGGGTCTGTTAGGTGCTTTTCATGATTGGTAAGTAGTTTGTCATTCTTTAGTGTTGTGCTAATTTCCATGGACAGTCAACTTGTTATATTACCAATTTGCAGCAACATAATTTGTAGATTATTCAGTTGATGATATATGATTGTAATTTCAGGTGTGAGCCATTCTCAACATATCCACGCTCATATGATTTATTGCATGCTAATTATCTCTTCTCCCACTACAAAAATAGTGGAGAAGGTTGCTCATTGGAGAATCTTTTGCTGGAGATAGACCGTATAATACGCCCTCAGGTAATTGTTTTGGGACTTTCATCCTTGTGGTTGCTACATTATAGAAATTGAAACTTGATGAACGAAGTCATTGATACTGATAAAGTGGGGGGTCATGTAAATCTCTTTAAAGCTATCTGTTCAAACCATAGTAGCCTTTATTATTATTATTATTATTATTGACATTATTATACTATATATGTGCCACTAGATTGATAGTGGCACATTTTCAACCCAAACAAAAATGTGTGGATGATATTGTGCACAGCATGTCTGATAAGACAATTTACCATGTTAGTGGCAAACTTCTAGGCACATAATACTGTTCATTTATGAAATTTTGTGATATCTTTTGATATTGTTCGCTCAATACATTTTAGCTCACATAGGTGCCCCAAACTCTCAAAACATATACTCATTTGGGTACAATTTAGGAAAAAGACCCGAAGGTTGTCCTATGGAGTTATATTTATACGCATGATACACCATATTTGGGTTGATAATATCAACTATTGTATGGGGTTATATTATTTTTGGTAGAGAAGTAAATGGTTTGTTGTTATTTGTTGGTACCTATGCACATCTGTTTGCTTCCGAGTTTACAGAATTCTAATAATAAGATTGAGAAGGATTTAGGGATTCATTGTTTGATTTTGGTTCTGCCTGTAGTATCTAGTGTAATTTAACATACATATTTTACAGCAGCATATGCCCGATTAAAAAATTTACTGAAAAATAAATTTGCAGGGATTTGTTATTATTAGAGACGAGGAATGGATTACATCAAGAATCCGTGATGTTGCTCCAAAATTTTTGTGGGAGGTTGAATCGCATTCTCTGCCAAATAAAGAGAAGAAGATGGAAAGTGTGCTTATTTGTAGAAAGAAGTTTTGGGCAATTGTGTAAGTTGAAAGCAATAGAGTAGAGGTGTTGTCTCAGACTTTGATATTTATTGATCGCTAACATATGTACATTTTTAACTGATGACAAGGATAAAATTTTTCACATAGGATCTTTTAATAACAAAGGGTTTGCATTATGAAGGATCATGTTTAGACAAATTTTCATGTTTCTTCTAATAACAAAGAGTTTGCATTATGAGGATCATGTTTAGACCAATTTTCATGTTTCTTTTAATAACGAAGAGTTTGCATTATGAAGGATCATGTTTAGGGTTTTAGTACATACAGTGAGTGAGTGAGATTTTAGCGTTGGATTGTATTTGTAGATTGTAGTTATGTTAAAGGCTTAAAGCAGGGAGAGAGAGAGAGAGGGAAGTTGATATGACAAGACAACCCCACGCTTGTCGGCCCTTTATTATTCGTTGACCTCCTCCTTTTTTTCATTTTTAATTATCAGTTTTCTTAAACAAATTAAATTGTTCATTACCCTTCTCACATTTACTAATAATCTGAATATGTAATTCCATTTTGATGTGATTTCTATCACTTTCCTGAATAAATAAATAATGGGCATTAGTATTAAATGGCCATGATTGGTTTTGATACCATAGCCAAAGGTGCTAATTGTTGCATGCATTTGGCTGCAAACATAGTTTTGGTTCTCAATAATATGGTTAGCTTTTTGTTAATAAAGTATAATTATTGATTTAACTTTACCTAAAAAAGCTAGAGAAAGTTACAGGTCATGATGATCATAAATCAAATTTAACTATGAATGATTAATTTTCTCCTATAAAAATAAATAATAATTGGAGGTAGACAAAATAAGAGATTGATGAGATATGTCGTCTGGAAAATATTAAATAGTTCAAAACCTTAAAACCACCATATATTTTACTGTTAAAAAACCCCCCCTCGCCTCTATGTCTATCTCTTTATTAATCCAAAAGTAACTCTTACCATTTATCACTTGCTAAATTTGTTAACCTTTTCTCTTTAATCAACATTAAAATACTTTATTCATTTCTTACTTCTATGTTGAGCCACTTTCTCAAACCTAATTTCATAATCCACATCCGTACGTACCACTACACCTAAAGGCAGGCCCAATTGCCCATTTCTTTTAACATGTGTCTTATGCTTATACGATAATTTAACAACATAATTAAAAGATTATGAAATATTCTACTAATTAATTTCTTATGTTGTGTCACTGAATTTGCATACGTGTTATCAATGTATTACTAATTATACAACATTTTGACAAACAAATAAAAAGGCCAATTAAGTGTTATATCTCTTTTAGGGGAATTGTCACATCAAAATAAAAAATAAAATACCAATTACTTGTCGTGAAAGAAATTTCGCCTCTTTTTCTGGAACCTCATGGATCCAAAACAAGTCTAGAAAATATAATTCTTCTAGCCCAACATGGATCTAATTAATGTATTCATAGAAGAAATAAACAATGGACAACAGAGGTCTTTAACTGAAGTTGAGTTCAGAGTGTAATTGTAATGGCAAAAAGAGTGAATGTGAATGTCTTTATCTCTACACCCATCAATCTAATTATGTATGTAGTGTTCTCAATTATTACATAAGAATTAAGTGGTTAATCTTAATCTCAGTTATTTTTATAATTAATTAATTAATTAATTAATAGAGAGTGAATAAATGGCACAAGGGAGTCAGTGCCAGATGCCTGCAAAAACTAGTACTACTTCCTTCACAGAGATAGGGATTAAGATAGAGATGGTGAGATGGATTGCAGACCGTTTCTTAGGTGTTTTTAAGGGGATTGGGCAATGAAAGGTCAGATCAAGGTCAGAAGAGGTGAGGTCATATGTCTCCATCATATCAATTCACATGCATTCATTCTTGTCTTGTCAAATCATTAGGTATCAATCACCTCCTCTTACACCATCTATATTTAAAATTTTCATCATCATGTGATCCATTAACTCATATGATTTATACGTAAGAAACTATCTATTTAGGCAGAAGATAGATGCCTAACTTGTTATCTAAATTAATTAGGATTTTGTATGCATCACAATTTCACTTATTAGATCTATTTTGCCCCCAACTCTTCTATCGGAGACCAGACTTATTAATAAAATGTTTGAATCCCAAACACCTACCACTACCAGATAGATACATCAAAAGGATTATTTAAATATTTGTTAACTGAAACTTCATTATAAATAAAAGGAATGCAAGAGAGTTGATTGGTGCAAAAGCAAGACATGCTTTTAGAAGTTGGAGACAGCCTTTCCAAACAAGATTTGAAAACAATTACAGTTTCTCACACTTGTACTTTAACCCTGCTGTAATGGACTAAGTAAGTAGCTAGTTGCATTGGTTAACTTGGAGTAATTAGGAATATCAAGTGGGACATATATATTATATATATATATTTTATACGAATAAAGTTATTATAATTTCATTTGTTTTAAAAGAGAAAGAGAGATCTTCTTTTGGAAACTCCCCAAAGCAAAGAGATTGGGACAAATAAGGTCATAGTCTAGGAGGACAACAACCCCATCAATCTACAAAGATGGGGCCAAAGCCAAAACGACATGTTTGATTAAATGAGAAAGGAGAGCCACAAATTCATATTCCACTTAGTCGTTAGATAAATTAAATGTAGATCATGATGCATGTGGTTGCCCTAGCTAGGTCAAACAATAAGTGGGTTTTATTTTTACTTTTATTTCAAAGTGGCTACTGGTCTCCTAAAGGCCTGCACCAATCTACCTTTTCATCACCACTATTTATCAATTTAACTCCAATTAACAACTTGTTAATTATATTTATCAATCAAATGCTAAATTTTAGTGTAAATGAGACAGGAAAATATCAGCATTATAATCTAGAGTTTTGTTTATTTAAAAAACACAAGAATTGAGGTGGTAAACAGTAAACACCTATATGTCGTTAGCAAACACCTAATTCTAGATAGTCAAAGAAGCAAGCAGAACAATTCGATGCGGGACCTATATTCCATTTGTTTTTTACGATTAAAAAATTTACTGAAAAATAAATTTGCAGGGATTTGTTATTATTAGAGACGAGGAATGGATTACATCAAGAATCCGTGATGTTGCTCCAAAATTTTTGTGGGAGGTTGAATCGCATTCTCTGCCAAATAAAGAGAAGAAGATGGAAAGTGTGCTTATTTGTAGAAAGAAGTTTTGGGCAATTGTGTAAGTTGAAAGCCATAGAGTAGAGGTGTTGTCTCAGACTTTGATATTTATTGATCGCTAACATATGTACATTTTTAACTGATGACAAGGATAAAATTTTTCACATAGGATCTTTTAATAACAAAGGGTTTGCATTATGAAGGATCATGTTTAGACAAATTTTCATGTTTCTTCTAATAACAAAGAGTTTGCATTATGAGGATCATGTTTAGACCAATTTTCATGTTTCTTTTAATAACGAAGAGTTTGCATTATGAAGGATCATGTTTAGGGTTTTAGTACATACAGTGAGTGAGTGAGATTTTAGCGTTGGATTGTATTTGTAGATTGTAGTTATGTTAAAGGCTTAAAGCAGGGAGAGAGAGAGAGAGGGAAGTTGATATGACAAGACAACCCCACGCTTGTCGGCCCTTTATTATTCGTTGACCTCCTCCTTTTTTTCATTTTTAATTATCAGTTTTCTTAAACAAATTAAATTGTTCATTACCCTTCTCACATTTACTAATAATCTGAATATGTAATTCCATTTTGATGTGATTTCTATCACTTTCCTGAATAAATAAATAATGGGCATTAGTATTAAATGGCCATGATTGGTTTTGATACCATAGCCAAAGGTGCTAATTGTTGCATGCATTTGGCTGCAAACATAGTTTTGGTTCTCAATAATATGGTTAGCTTTTTGTTAATAAAGTATAATTATTGATTTAACTTTACCTAAAAAAGCTAGAGAAAGTTACAGGTCATGATGATCATAAATCAAATTTAACTATGAATGATTAATTTTCTCCTATAAAAATAAATAATAATTGGAGGTAGACAAAATAAGAGATTGATGAGATATGTCGTCTGGAAAATATTAAATAGTTCAAAACCTTAAAACCACCATATATTTTACTGTTAAAAAACCCCCCCTCGCCTCTATGTCTATCTCTTTATTAATCCAAAAGTAACTCTTACCATTTATCACTTGCTAAATTTGTTAACCTTTTCTCTTTAATCAACATTAAAATACTTTATTCATTTCTTACTTCTATGTTGAGCCACTTTCTCAAACCTAATTTCATAATCCACATCCGTACGTACCACTACACCTAAAGGCAGGCCCAATTGCCCATTTCTTTTAACATGTGTCTTATGCTTATACGATAATTTAACAACATAATTAAAAGATTATGAAATATTCTACTAATTAATTTCTTATGTTGTGTCACTGAATTTGCATACGTGTTATCAATGTATTACTAATTATACAACATTTTGACAAACAAATAAAAAGGCCAATTAAGTGTTATATCTCTTTTAGGGGAATTGTCACATCAAAATAAAAAATAAAATACCAATTACTTGTCGTGAAAGAAATTTCGCCTCTTTTTCTGGAACCTCATGGATCCAAAACAAGTCTAGAAAATATAATTCTTCTAGCCCAACATGGATCTAATTAATGTATTCATAGAAGAAATAAACAATGGACAACAGAGGTCTTTAACTGAAGTTGAGTTCAGAGTGTAATTGTAATGGCAAAAAGAGTGAATGTGAATGTCTTTATCTCTACACCCATCAATCTAATTATGTATGTAGTGTTCTCAATTATTACATAAGAATTAAGTGGTTAATCTTAATCTCAGTTATTTTTATAATTAATTAATTAATTAATTAATAGAGAGTGAATAAATGGCACAAGGGAGTCAGTGCCAGATGCCTGCAAAAACTAGTACTACTTCCTTCACAGAGATAGGGATTGAGATAGAGATGGTGAGATGGATTGCAGACCGTTTCTTAGGTGTTTTTTAAGGGGATTGGGCAATGAAAGGTCAGATCAAGGTCAGAAGAGGTGAGGTCATATGTCTCCATCATATCAATTCACATGCATTCATTCTTGTCTTGTCAAATCATTAGGTATCAATCACCTCCTCTTACACCATCTATATTTAAAATTTTCATCATCATGTGCATCCCATTA